AGATATGAAATTTTTTATAAGGATTTGCTTAACAAATAGAAATTTACAATGACTTTATAGTTTTAAAATAATATATGATGGATATTTGGCTAGAATGTGAAAAATATTAGGAGATTTGGCGACTTAGTATGAATTAAAATTTTTAAAGAAGAAAAAGACAAACTGAAGTTAAATTTTTTAAAAACTCGAGGTGCGTACTTTATTCATTCAAATTTTTTGTTTGTAATTATAAATCCTGAAATATTTTTAAAAAAGTGCAATTTTCTTCGTTTTACAAATGAAACCAATTTTCGAAAACTTTGTATCTTTATTTACGTACAAAAGAAACAAAAATATCAGCAATGTAAATTAGGAATTTTATATTCTGTTGATTTCATCATCAATTAAAAAATATTTGGTATGGTATATGTGTCAGAGATTTTTTGTTTTAAATGTTTAATACATACCTTTCTATTTCTATTTTCTTTCTATTTAGCATCATCGTCACAAATTTGCGCAGAATCACTTCTTTCTGCATAATATGATGCTTCAAAATCTACATTTCAATAAATATACCTAATAAAAAATATTTTTAATTTTTCTTAATTTTCGAGGTAATTAAAGCATATGAATACATGCTTTTAAAAATTTATTTCACTTCTGTCATTAAATCAAGATATTTATTTTATAATCGAATAATGATTTTATAATAAAAATAACAGACGATTTAAGTAAAAAAAAGTTTTTGTATCAAGTTTGAAAAATTAAAGCATATTTAATCTATATAACAAGTCTCCTACTGCATTTGTTAAAAAAAATTGTGTTGAAATGTGAAAAAATATTTTTTCTCGATTATTTTTTTTCATTTTTCAACTATTCTAGAATTACTTTATAAACTTAGTGCCTAGATTTGATAATAAATTGTTACTTTATGCGCTTATCAGAACAACATCTTCCGTATTTATACAAATTTGTGACATAAATTTCAATAACCCATGCATGTAAATTAACGTTTAGAGACTCGCCTTTAAATAGAAAGTTTTTAGATATATGCAAACAAATAAAACTATATTAAAGAAAAAAAAATTATTCCATACAACCATCATTTATGCTTCGAATTAAATAATTTTGTATTTAATTGTAGTCCAACTTATGACATTGAAAAATATGTATCTTCTTTATTTTAATAATAAACAGAAACTACTACTTATAAACATAAGTACTAAATATAATTAGAATACCAGCAATCCTTTCTTTAGAATTTTTTGCTTTGTTGATATAACAATTTTAATGTAGCAAAGAAACTAAAGAATATTTGTGACATGTATTAAAATAGTTTTTTTTAAATACTATTTTGTTTAAAATTTGCATAGATGTCCTTCATTGTCAACAACTTCACTTGCCAAATTAGGAGGAACGCTTTTCTCTTCATATTCATATTCGAAAGAATCATGCATCATATCATTCCAAGTATTTTCATCAAGTCTAAAATAATATAATATAGAGTTTATTTATTTTTATTTGGTTTGGTAGTTTTAGCACATAATTTCATGCATAAATTCCTCTTCTGTTTATGTTATTTGAATAAGAAATGTAACTTACTAAAATCGAAGAGTTTTCTGAAAAATTTTGAAAAGTGAAAAAATTTCAAAATTTATATCAAACTTAAAGACAACCTTTTATTATTTTAAGCTCTGAAATATGTAAAAGTGTAAAATACAGCTGTTAAATGAGAATAAAAAGTAAACACCCAGGATTAAATTTTGATTTAATGATTTACATGATGATTTGAGGTTCTAATATAGAATATGATAATAAATTAGTTCTCCTGACCAAACTATTCAGATAATATTCTCAGGATTGTTGCTACCCGAATATTTTGAGAGTTAAGATTTCAAATCTGTTGAAAAAAGGCATAGTTATTCAGAGGCAGTTCATTTGTCTGATTTTGCAACTTAAAATATTGTATGCAGTAATTAATTAGCATATTTAAAATAACACTTTCAAAATATTAAGGAGTCTTAGTAAGTGATAATCCGAACATTAGATCCAAAGTTATTCAGAATATTCTCCTTTTAAAAGCTTTAAAACAACGCATTCCGTAATAAAGTAGATTTGCGTATTAACTTTAACTGTTCACTTTCAAAATAATCAGTATTTAATAATTAAATTTCATTAATAATTAATTTTTTAATTAAATGTAGACATAAAACTTACATTAATAATTACAAAAATCAGTTATTTTTAATGGCTTTTAAATGTTTTCCTTTAGAATTTTTAATAATTCTAATAAGTCTAGATTTTTCAGATTTAGTTTTTTGTTATTTCATAGGATCAAACATTAATTTACTTAACATTACAACATAACATTACTTAACATTTACAAACATTAAGAGACTAAAAAACGAACATTTTCTATATCTCAAACGGTAAGTAGGTATTTGTTTTTAATTCTTTTTTATAAAGACTACAATGAAGTAAGCGCAGAAAATAAATTCTGGTAAAATCTCCGAATCGTATATGGCAGGGGAATTTCTGGTAAAAAAAAACCCATAATTCTAGTTAAAAAAAAACAAAATGTACGGTATTTAAACTGTACATTTGAAAATTTTCCTCTCATTATCTCATTTTCCTCATTCTTATAATATAATGGTTTACCGAAAATTCTGGTTCTTAAGATTATCGTTCTTATTGCAGCACATTTAATAAAAAATACAAAACTGAAAAATAAATTTAACCGAATAATTGCTTACAACATATTCTACGGTATCATGGTGCAATTACCAAATTTTATGACATTTACCGAATTTTACGACATTTACCAAATTTTACAACATTTACCAAATTTTATCACTTATTATAAAACTATTTTTTTTTCTCAGTGCATAGATTTAAAAAGTTATCTTTTATTTATGATTTGCTTAATTTTCTTATCTTCAGAAACATTGAAATATTACTTGTTTGATCTTAATTTACTCAGATCCTGATTTCAGATCTTGATCTTGATTTACTCAGATCTTGATCAGATCAGATTTAAATAATCTTGATTTACTCAGCTACAGAAAACTTATTATTTTTTAAAGTTGTTTTCAAAAATCTCCTAAAAATCTCTCTTATACTCCCTTTCCTGCAACTGTGAATGCATTTGAACTCTTCAACTCCCTTTCTTAAGAAGCTAAACTGACAAACTCTTCCTTTCTTCAAATTTAGTTCCTGGTTATAAAATTTGAAGAAAAAAAAAATGATAGTGGAAGGCCTATTTAGAAAACGGAGACATAAGGGAGAAAACGGGGTCATAGTTAGATTCAACTTTACATAGTGTGTAAGAATCAAGAGTAATAGTGCCATGGTTCAAAATTTCTTTTCTGCGATATAGAGTAATTAAAGAATAATTGGCATGAAAAAATTCTAATTAAAATTTAGATCAAAAACTATTTTTAAAAGTTTTATTCATACCTTTTTAATTTTACATCATTGTCACCAGACTTTTCAGAAACACATTCTTCTGTATGGACCAACTGTTTAGAACCATCGTCCCACATAAATTGTCTAGAACAATAATATTTTTTTTTAAAGTTTACCATTGCCCAAATTTAAAGTATTTATTAGCGTATATTTTTTATAAATTTCTTTCATTTATGTCATTAAATTGAAAGATTTATTTAAAGAGCAAATGGATATTTTTCTTTTAGTTTTGATTAAAAAAAACTACTAGTTTGCACTATCAGTAAGCAAAATTTGAATCCATTGTAAAACTAAGCTGTTAAGATATTACGTTGCAGTGTTGAGTAGCTAAGGCTGTGGAGAAATTTAACTACGAAATAGTGCAACATTATTCAAGTGCAACTGAAGTAAAGTCTCGAATACAGTAAAATTGAGCTGTTAAGAGCTTTTGCTGCTAAGTAAAGCAATCCTCCCGGATGCGAGTTAATTTCAACAAAAAGTCCTTTTCCAAAAGTTTTTCCCAATACTTGATTCAGAAGTTCCCTTGTTTTCTGAATTGGGTTCAAAATTATAAGGCTATGGAATTGAACATTGGTAATCGTAAGCTCAATTTCAGTTGTTCAATGACTGTTATAAAATATAAAATAAAACTATAAATTGAATATTTGTCTTCGTCTCTTTTTGTATTAAACTTTCGACGCATTGTTTCTAACCACAAAAACCTGAAACATTAAAGTTTTTTTTATTTAGAAGCTTAAATCCCCGATGAACTTTATAATCTTTGTAATTGTTTAGATTCTCCTTTAAAAAAAAGTAAGTATTATGTTACCTTTAACGCTTGGTTACAAATACTTCTAATCTTCGTTTAATACGTTGGATTGAATATATAGGATTAAAATCAATAAGGATATGCTATATGCACTATATGTATGTGGGTATTTCAAAATGCAGTTTGGTTCTTTGTTTATAATATAAAAACAATCTAAAAATTGTACTTAAATATATGAAATTGAAAGAACTATAAAATGTAAATTTACAAAAAAAAGAGGAATGGTTACTAAGATTACATTATCACTATTATACTACTAATAATACAAATATTACTATAATTCGAATATTACTATGGAGATTTTGCACTACAGAGAATAGCTGTTGCCCCTAGTCCTTCAACACGTTTAATTAAGAATATTATTCAAGAATTAGATTATACATCATAAAAATATTTCTTAAATAAATTAATGTCTGTAACAAATTGCTATCGAAATGTCTAGACTAGGAATTTCTCAAACACACCAATGGCCTTTATCCATAATTATTTATTTAGAATTTTACATTGAATTTATTTTGATGCTTATGGTGCTCTTGTCTTGCTAAAATTCAACTAAAAATATTAATTTATTAGACTCGCTTTGAAAAAATGTATAACCTATTATGACCTATATTTACTATATTTTACCATTACCTTATAGCAGTAAACCTTTCATTTATTAAATTAAGTAAATTGATATTTAAAACTATTTGATTGATATTTAAAATTAAAGTGTTGACTATTGATTTTTAATGTAAATTTATTACAGATATACGCTACAAAGCACTTCAAAATGAAGGAATGTTTGGAGGTGACATGATTTTACCGTCGCATCGTATGTTGCGAGTAAATATTATAAAAATTATTTATTTTATTGGCAAAAGTTATAAACTATTTCTTTAATTTCTCAATGCTTGAGTAGTACTTTCTTTAATATTATTTCATATTGAGTGTCGGAAAATATAACGCTGCTTGCACACTGATTGTTTTATGTGAAAAAAGTATTAAGTTTTACGGTAAAACTTTTTGTTACTATATATATAAAAACTCATTTTTAATGAGATTTCAAAATTTCAGCGTTCATTTTCCATGACTATCTGCATTGTACTAAATGTTAATGTGAATTTCCATAATTATGTTAAATTTCCTGCGTTTCTAGTACTATAAAAAATAGTTTTTTTTTCTTCGAGTGTTTGTTTTTAATCCTTTAGAAAAAAAGAAATATTTTATACGGTATGATTTTTATTTCAAAAGATTAATAAATGCGTATAAAGATCAAAGACCTTATTAAAAATATTTAGTTTTAAAGAAAAATATTAAATAGTTTTTAATTAATGATTTCTTGAAGAGTTAATTAAGTAAAAAACGAGTTTAAAACTCACTAAACTTAAAATGCAGCATCAAAATTTATTATTTTATCCCATAATTTTAGGTAATATTAATATATTATTTTGCTATCTACTGAATAGATTTTATAGCATTTGTAACGATCAAAAAGTATTTTGGGATTTTTGGGACATAAAGAAATTGCAATTAAGAATTGTAACAATGGTTACTGAAATCTCGATATTATATAAACTGCTGCAGCAATTTTTTTGTAAATTACAAATCCTTACAAAACTGTATAATAATGTGTAATAGTAAATATATACAATATATAATTGATATTTCTCAGATCAATTGAATGGCTTAGTCCTTAAATAGATTTTCTATTTTTGACAGAATGGAATATTGAGTGAGGATTATAGGTGGCCTGGTTATCCAGGTGCAGCTTTTATACCATTCATTATAGATTCATCTCTTGGTAAGTGGTGTCCAAATTATCCTTTAATTTCAAAATGATAAATATATTATAATAAATTTCCTAAATCCACAATGCAATGTTATTTTTTGTGATATTTATAAATAATAGTTATTATTATTGTTTTTGATTTATTGTATTTTCTATATATCTATAAAACATAATACCCTAAAAAATCTCCACCTCCCCCAAAAGAATAAGCATAAGAAATCAATATAAAAGTAATAATAAATAAGAATAAATACGAACGCAAAATTGTTTTATAAACCATGTAAATATGGAACAAATCTTTTCAGCTTTCTAATTTTTCATCCCTTTATCTCTTTCACCAAACAAACATTGTTTGTTTCTTCAATATTTCACTTATTTGTAATCATTCGTATTGTGAAATTTATTAATTATAACCACGCAAAAAATTTTTTTACGCTAACTGACTTTGTTACGACTAACTGACGCTAACTGACTTTGTTTTAAGACAAAACCTGTGATGATTGCAACGTTTGATGTATTTTATCATTTATTAATAATGGAATTAATATGATCGAATCTGATGGAATTTATTAATTAGTATAGAGTAGAATCGACCATTGGTTTGAATAGAATCAAACTAAAAAAATCAACAGGTATAAAATATATTCAAATTGAATATAAATGATTAGAATAAGCCACCACCAAAAAAGTAACCTGAAAAACTACCAAGTAAGTTTCGTTTCATCTCGACGGCTTTTATTTTGTTTTATAACCGGCGTTGAACAGCCGACTAAGACTCCTAGCTTCAACTCCTTAGTAATTTTTAATCTCACCCAAACGACAAGGGATCTCCTGAATCAATTTTTTGGACTAACTAGCCTACAGAAAGGACTTTTTGATGGAACTAAGCCGCTTTTGCGTTACGTTGAGGAAGATTGTTGCTGTTGTTGTAGCTCTTTTACGTCGCACTAGAGCTGCACAATGGGCTATTGGCGACTGTCCGGGAACATCCCTGAGGATGATCCGAAGACATGCCATCACACAATTTTGATCCTCTGCAGAAGGAATAGTAGAGGAAGAATACGAACACTTCCCAAGGAAATTCTGACCCCTGATCCGTCTGCCAAACTAAATTCAGTGGCGCGACAGCCCATAGAGGGCCAAGGCCTACTGTGCCCATCTCAGTTTTCTTGTCCTTGGGTTCTGGTGTGCAGGAGCAGATGTTCCGGTCAGGTGGTCAGCCGAGCGCGGAAACCCCAGTGTTTAGTTCCCAACCCATTATTACTTGGTACTCATTTATCGACCCACTGAAGGGATGAAAGGCTGAGTCAACCTTGCCCGGCCCCAGGATGATCCGTCTACCACTGAGATATTTTACGTCAGCACTGTAATCGGTGCGAGTCGAGAATCTCGACGGCTTTGAAAACTATGGATATAGTGTTAGGATTGGTCATTTACAATCAATTTACATCTTATCCATTATCTCTACCCCTCTTCAAGCACGCCTTACGCATGCTCAGAGGGTAAAAACTGAGACTTGAAACAGACCAAAATGGACGTTATTCATTTTGAGTAATACAAAGGAAAAAAATATTTGCCACTATCTGTGGTTATGTTGCTTTTTAAACCTTGAAAAATTGTTAAGGATATTTAAATAAGAAAATAATTATTTTGCAGATTGTAAATTAAACTTATACTAAGTTTTAGAGCAATAATTCTCGGATGGTCGAAGGTTAAATTGTTATGTTCGAAGGTTATGCTGCTAGGTAGGCTCGAAGTGACGTCATTGTAGGTAAATTATGGAAGCTAATCACGCACGTGATATCGCTTACAAGTATCCAAATGAATCTGATTTAAATCACATGGTTAAGCATTATCACTTCATTTCTACTCCAAGTGCAAGTACCCAATTACTATATCTAGTGCCTAAATTTCAATTAATTTCAAATTTTCTTGAAAATTTCAGAAGATGAAAAGAAACTTATCTTAGAAGGAATGGAAGCTTACCATAAAACTACTTGCGTGAAGTTTGTTCCGAGAACCACAGAGCGAGAATATGTCAAAATATATAAAGGTGAAGGGTAAGTGTTCTGCCCAGAATTTTTGTTTAAAACCAGAATCTGTTAATTTTAAAATATAGAGAAAGTGTCAAAATATATAATGCTGAAATTAAGTATTTCTGTACTTAATTGTATCAGTTTTTATCACATCATTACTTGTAACGGAATAATTTTTCCGAATCCAGTTTTGTTTATGTATCATATACTTACATCCGGAAAAAAAAGTTTGGAAAATTTACTGTACTGTATGGAAATGACTTCTCATGTTTCTGGTCAATAAAAACCAAAATGTACTGTATTTGAACCATTCACTTGGTAATTTTTCCATTCATATGGTAAAGGTTTACCAGAATTTTTTTTCTTCAAAATTACAGCTACATGGATGGGGAAAAAATCCGGCAGATTTTAAGAAATAATATAAATTTGATATTAACTGTTGCATAATATACCAAATATTCTATACACAAAGAATTTTAGGGATTTTAAAGTCAATAAAATACAATAACTTTATTACACTAATAAACAATGGTTTACAATATTTTCATTTATATGATTACTCATAATTTTGAATAGTAATAGAAATTAAATTTTGAATTAATTAAAAAAAGGATTCTGAATAAGCTAAAAATTTTAGAACCAAAAATAAAGAAGTTTTTAACAGGTTACGATTTATTATGCATTAAAAATACTTATTTAAACAAGCAAAAAAATGTGTGAACATTTTTTTGATTAGGAATTTTTTTGGTGCAATTAACTCAATTTTGGGGAATTCTCAAGAATGCACAAAAGCTAAGAGTAATTTTACTGAACCAGTAAACCAGGAGAAACTGGCAAAACCCAGTTGTCTACTGGAAAATCCATTAGGGTTGGTAACTATGCAGCTGTTACCACACATTCAGTAAAAATTACAAAACTGAAAAACAAATTAAACTGAAATAATGATTTTTATGCGATGCTCTAAGGTATCAATATAAAATTACTAATTTATTACCACATTCACCAAACTTTATTAAACATTATAAAACCGTATTTTGTTGTTAAATTAACCAAATATCATTACCTAAAGCACTTTTGTAAAAATAACCAACTTCTTGGTGTTCCTAGAAACACGATTAATTTCACCATATTTTGGTGGTCTTCACCACACTTTTTTCTGAGAGCATGATTATAATTTTTTAATGAGAGTAATGTAGCAGAGAATTTTTTAGTTTTATATTTTGTCTGCTTATTACCGTATTCTCCAAAAGTGGAAAATGTCATGACTTCGGATAAAAGATGTCAATTAAGCAAATCACCCATGAATTTTTTTTCCTATTTTTTTTTTAAGAGTTATTTTAAAATGCAGAACTTTAAACTAATTTTTTAAAAAAAAAGAAGTTTTGATTTTCAATTTTCAAATAAATAAATGAATAATAAATGTTATAAATATCATTGATAAATTTTGATCAAACTATGAGCCTTTATTTTAAGGAATTTAAATAATTATGAAACAAAGTTAAGAATTATCTAGGTATATCTTCTATTCCATTTGTAATATATTTGAAACTTCAGACGTAAGGGCAAAATTTATTATTGGTAATTCTTATTTAAAATTTGTTTTTACTTAGCAATGGCCATGTTCGTAAGGGGTTAAAATAGTTTGCGGTACGGTTAATTTAAGACAAACTCTGTGCAAAAACTCTTCAATATTATTCTACTTGCCGCTATCATAATTATCAAACGGATAGAAAGACAAGATTAAAAGTTGTGTAAAGTAAATAATGACTTTCTTAGTTTGTTTAAGTAAAAAATATTTAATTTTACTTTTTGTTGTTCAATATTATAACCAGTATATTATTGAGTTTCATTACAAAGTTCATAATTACAGAAATTCATAAATATTAATTTAACTTTTCTGAATTCTTTGTAAAGAGCTCTGAGATTTAGAATGAAAGTTGAACCAACTTTTATTTGTTCAACGATTCGGCCTTAAATAGTCTTTGCATTACCAAGTGGACATTAATATTTGTTTTGAATACATGGTAATGATGTCTTAAGTCAAAGCAATGAGAGTTTGAAATACTTTTATGTGGAAAATATAAAACTCAACATCTACGACAGTTTACCTATTGGGAAATGTAACAAGAATCACACAAGTATTGCAACCGAGTTGCAGTTGCACCTAATCTATAAAAAAGATTAGTATAGAGAGTACTGGAGAACAGAAAATCGTGAAATGGCAACACATCACTGTCTTGATATTTTCACAATTTATCCGTTTATTATCAATAATGAACGGTAATTATTAATAAAAATCTCGCTACTAATAATCCGTATTCCATGCACTTTTTTTATTAATGCATCGCAAAAAAATAACGAAATTTAAAAAGAAAACATCAAATTTTAACTAAAAAAATAATAAAAGGGAATAAATATTTTAATACAAAATATTTAATTATGTTTAACTTGTAAATTATGTTCTGAAATATTTTTGAAGCCAAACCATAAGATCTAGGAACTAATATCGTTAAATATGAAATCACCACCTTAAGCGAAAAAACCAAGCAATTCATTTTTCAAGAGCGAAACAATTGTTGTCAATCGCTTCAACTTCGAAAGCCTGAATCGGGGCAACATTTATTAAACACTTAATTTAAAAATTTGCATAAACGGATCTTAGCGAAAGAATTTTTCTTAAGGAAATTAATCAAAATTTGCGTTTCATGAAGAAAAAAAACGTCAAATTCTATATATTAGTCTATACATTAATCAAATTATCACAATGAGCCTAATAAATGATTCATCAGCCATTAGCTTTGACTTAGAAGTCATCCACTGGCCTGTTGATCAAGTCACATCTACTGTCAGAAATAACCGAGTTCATTGAATCATAAAAAAAATGAAGAAAAAAATGAAAAATGTTGAATGCCTTATGCATCATAAGCAAAGTCCTTTCCCTTCTAATGAAAAGAAGAAGAAGAAAAACTTTTAGCAAAAACAATCTAACTTTCCCAATTTTCTTTGTTACAATTTTTGCGGCCCTCAATTTACCAATTAACGGCACATAATCATTTACATGATTCAATCTTTCTAATATCTTACTTTTTTGGCAGCTTCGATAGCCAAATAGAACAAAAAATAAAAATGTTCGCCCAAAATAAGATTTCCTTCAGTTCTGAAAGTTAATTCATTAGATAAGTTAACTTTTTTTTTGCATAAAATTGACGAACTTCCTTTCAGGTTTTAAAACTAATCTAAGCAAGCTCTCCAAACTTATTTCCCATCGGATTTAAGCGCCTTTTAGCTTCGATGTCTTGCAACATTAACCCTGTCAAGAGAGAAATTAATTCAAAATTTATTTTTAAAGTTAAGTAGATTTTGTGTGGTTTTACTGCTGATAATGATCTTTGTCGAATATCCGTCTTGTTAATTAAGAGGAAACAGGTTCTAGTGAATAAACTTTTAGCAAAACACTTTTATAAAGTTTTTCCTTTTGTAATTAAAAGGGTAAAATAGCTTTTGAAGCAATTTGTAAGTTACAAGAAAAATCTACCCTTTGATGGTTATAACTGCTTAAAAAATAATTTACGAATAATAATTGTTTAAATAAATATTTGGTTAAGGCGTAGAATCAGATGCCTCTTGATGTGGTAATAATTTTCATTCAGTAATTTATAATTTTCATTTTCATTCGGTTATAATTTTCGTTCGATACTAAATTTCCATGAAAACTAATTTATGGTTACCATCATATTCTTCTTTGTCTTTGCTTTTAATGAAGTCACATTCGGGTTACTGCAACTTATGTTTACCATTATGCGATTGGTTCTTACTTTTATGTTTCAAATCACCGAATATAAAAGGGCTCCCCGAATGGTAACTATTGCCGAATACTTTACATTGTTGTTAATAATCATTCATTGTTTAAATTTTTTTTCGGCTGAAAAAAACAGATATTTAAATTTTTGCTGTTTTTTTTATCTCTATGTGAAATAGAACTTTTACAATGTAGATCTCTAAAAAATTAAAAATACATTTGAAGTAAGAAACAGTATGTTTTTAGATACTTTGGGAGTTTCGTAAAAACTACCTTAAGTATAAATTCTTTCAGATTCCTTGTTAAATAGCAGTCAAATATTAAAATTAAAGCGAGATAATGATAAACAAAAAGCAGAAAAATCTGATGAATCACTATAGAGAAAAGCGGAATCAGAAAAAAAAAAGAAGACTGTTTGATTGTCTAAGGAGGCAGAGAGGTATAGAAAAGCGCTTATTACAAGAAGAAAAAAATGCTGTTAAAACTATTTAAACCATTCATTTGGTAATTTTTCTGCTCATATGGTAACGGTTTACCGGAAATTCGATTTTTCTAAATTGCAGCTCTTATTACTACTATAGAAAAAAAAAAATACAAAAATACAAATACAAAATTTTTTTTAATAGTACTACTATTAAAAAAAAAATACAAAACTGAAAAGTAAATTTAACCGAATAAATGGTTTTAACGCCAGGCTAAGATATCGTAATTATAACAGACCTTTTTAGTGTTCCCATTGAGTCAGAAACATGGTACATTTTACCATATTTTGATAGTTTTGACTATACTTTTTTTCTTGTTCTAGAAACACCTCCGAGTTAAATCGAGAAATGAAACTGATTTTTACGTTTTTCACTCGGTCTTAATGATTTGACAGGTTAACGACAGAGCTTTTGTCCCATCCCACTGTGGGCCAGAAGACCATGATCTTTGGCCAAAAGTCAAAAATTAAATTTTCAATTAGAATATGTGTAGGCAGTTTTAATATAGCCCAAATTAAGCATTCATAATCATTCCAAGCATTATAATTTACTTTTTGGACAGACAAGAGTACAATGTAATGAAAAATATGTTAATTTTTTTTTAATGTAACTTTTAAATTTTTATTTCAGAAATATATATAGGAATATTTCACCTCACTGTTACATTTTTATCAGATTAATTAGTCTGAAATTATAATACAATTTTTCAATTTGTTGGATAGGTTAATACTCTTGACAAACTTATAGTTTATATCTTATCATTTGACATTTTGCAATGTTTGAATGACTTTCGAAACTTAGCTCCAAAAAGTTCCACGAGGTAATTAACTAAACTTTTTTGTTGTCTTCTTCGATGTATCTTCTTTCGAAAAAACCTGCCCCATTTTGCCCGTATTGCAAAGGTAGACTAAATATACCAAAAAACAAAAATTATGTTTTTTTCCCCTCATGTTTTCGCGTTATTTTGTAATTAATTCGAGTTATTTTGTAATAATACTTCGGAAATATAATTTGCTTTTCATTTTTAATATAAAATTACAAAAAATATTATATTTTCATTGCTATATTTAATTATTTAAACGTACTATCTATTTTTTTAAATTTTTGCTCGCCATATTTCAACCGCCATTTTGTTTTTTGGGGTATTTTTAGTGTATTTCAAAATTTCAACTATGAATTCAATTAACCTGCACATAAAAACCCTCAAATTTTGAAACAAATTTCATCAAAATACTAATTTTGGCTACAAAACCTTGGATGCTGGCCCACTGTGCATTCTATTTAAAATACGAATTTACTAATCCTCTTACTTTTTTACATTTGAACATGGTTTCTAAAATTATTAAGAACAGTCACCACGGAATATCTGGTAACAATTCATAATATTTTCATATAAATTTCTTGCTGCATGATTCTTATTATTTGCATGCAAATAATAAGAATTATGTACGCATAATAGCTTCAAGAAGCTTTCAACGGTGAATAAGAAAAATTACTGTTTCATCAACCAATAAGTTAGACTTCCTTTCACTTGAAATAAAGAATTCTTATACTGCATTTTTATCTTATTGTAGGTGTTTTTCCGCCGTCGGCCGAGATAGAGAATCCGTCCAACCACAGGAATTATCTCTAGCACCCGGATGTCTGAACATAGGAACAATCATTCATGAACTTGGACATACCATTGGTTTCTACCACGAACAAAATAGATCGGATAGAGACGAGTTCTTAATCGTTCACATGAATAATATACCTTCGTGTGAGTACCATTTTTTCGAATGTTTCGGTGATGGAAGAGGAAAATCTGAATGTTTCTAAGCGAATAAATATATGTTATGAACTGGTGAATATTATTGCATTTGGAGTAATTTGTAACATAGTCAGCTTCAACATATTACACGTAAATAATGGAGGCAACTTTTTTTTTTCAATTTAAAAATTAAAATAGTTTAGTTGTTAACTAATTTAAAAGAATGATGTATTGAGCTGTTTTTAACTTCAAATGTCTAAATCGATCCCCATTATTTAAAGTGTAAATTGCATAGAAAAAAAATGAAAGCATTATAAACAGGTATAAAAGAATTTATAACAAAACATTATTTAAGCTCTCAAATACATACTTCACTATAAAAAAAACGGACCACATTGAATAACTTTTAATTTAATTATCGGATATTCACGTTCTAGGACTCAATCTTAATGGTTCAAAGGGGTGTCCTTAAATATGCTAATTAGTTAGCGCAGACGATATTTTAAGTTACGAAAGTTAACCCTTTAATGGGCCATTTATTTCTAGTAAGGGTAAATTAAAGTTTTTTTGGAATTGAAATTGTTTTAAGAATTGATATTAAAAAAAAACTCATTTAGTTTATAAAAATGCCATTTTTTGGTGGTAAATATATTTAACACGACATATTACGAACTTATTGACTTTTATTTTTCTTTATTTATAAAATGAATTTCATAAATGCTACAAACTTCAAAAGGAATTATGTATTTTACAACTTTTATACATTTTTTTAAACTAACAAATGGTTACCAATTTTATTCTAACGCACTTCAAGAAAGCTGAAGTTATTAACCAAAGGAAACCTAAATTAAAAGTGGTGATAAGTATACTTCCCACGGCCTTCGAAAGGGTTAAAAAAGAGAAAAACAACTCAGTCGAAGTCTATTTAGAGCATAAATTCAATTTAATTTTGAAAAATTTATTGAAAACATAATAAGTATCTATAGGATTTAATTTGAGGTGCACAGGTGTTCATAATATTATTAAAAAATACTTATGTTAATTTCATAGTTGTTATTATGTATTCATTTTGTTTATGTTCATGTTTTTCGGCTATTATTTAAACACTTAATGTAATATTTTGTTACTTTTATATTATTTAAAACTGTTTTAAAATGTTTATGTTATTTAATCATGTTCCGCAAGAAAATGGAAGGTTGAGAAAATATCTTTTGCAATTAGTTTTTAAATTTATCGTACAGTTACAACATGGTCTAAGTATTTTTGAAGTTTAAGCTAAATGGCTTTTTTATTGTTTTGTATCTGTAGTAACACTTCTTAATATAAATACAATTGTATGTTTTGTTATAAGAAATTCGCTATTTTATTACTGAACCAAATTTTTTATTTAAACTCTCGTAATACTTTTCATTTAAAGTCAGAATTTTTGCACAGGAATTCAAAAACTACCGGTTCCATAAATGGTGAAAAAACAGTTCTTAAAATGAAAAAGAAAAAAGCGTGTTTTGAATAATAAAAAGAGAAATCAAAATTCATGCTAAAAAACAGCTTAAAACAACAATTTGAAAGGAAAATTGCGCAATTTCCTGGCTTTCTTGCAAAGCCTTTGGGGTACAGAGAGAGCAAATTTTAGTCCTTTGTCTAGCTCTCTCCATTGAAAAGGTTAAGTACTATTTTTATGATTTCCGGGGCTGGTACCCCCTGACGACGTCAGCTACGGTTGTCATTATTATATTTTTCAATTTTTTCTTCTTTGTTTACAGCTAGCGTGTTTCGAACACTTTTACAGCTAAATGTCTCAGGGAAATTTTTTTTCCGTACTTCAGGTACAGTTTATCCTGCCAGGTACAGTTAGTCTCGTCAGATGCAGGTTGCCCGGTAATGGGCACCCAAAAGGTACATTTTTAAAATCTTAAATATAGTAAAATCGTATCCACATAAGAGGTGCAAATTACTAAACATGGAAAAAACGCAACAAGAATTCAACAAATCTCTAGCACTTTAAGCATCATAGCTCGTTTGAATGCAAATGAAAAAAGAGAGGAGCTGAAAAGTTATTATTGCAAACACCTTTAAGTTTCATTAGGCAACCAGACTGGTTTTAATATTTTAAATATCGTATTTTTTCCCTGAGATTCATGAGAATTCGATAGTGTTTTGTTTTCCCCTTCGTTAAATATTAATTGTAACCTCTAATGCATATAATTTTTTTACTTCATTTACGCTAAGTATTCTAATAATATATATATAAAGGGCGGCGAATACAGAACAATCTGAATACGAAATATAAGAAAGAACTTAATTTTAATGCAAAAAGAAACTCGATCTTTCAATTAAATTCCAGAATTAAAATCGCGTTGAGGAAAGAAATTGCAAACGCTATTCAGCTTTGTTACCGAGGGGACAAAGAAATAAAATTTTGTTTCATTGAGTTAGTATTTGAAATGAAACGTTCTTCTTTCAGATCAGAGACACAATTTCAGAAAGCTTAAGATGGATGAAAACATACTTTTGACTCCTTTTGACTATGATTCAATAATGATCTATGGGAACTATGCTTTTTCCAAAAACCCCGATGAAGCCATGACCATCGAAGCCAAGACAGGACAATTACTTTACGATCCTTTTAAAAAAGTAAATTTAACTCTTTCTGATATTGATCGAGTGAATAAAATGTACAAGTGTTAAATTTTAATCACTGTAATATCACGTATTCATCATTTTACTATTTGTTTTCAACACATCATGATGAATTTATGCACATAAATCACTTGAAATATTAGTGTGTGAAAAAAAATTACAAATTGATAATGAAAAGTCATTTAGTCCTTGGCATAAGATTAATGTATTGCATTGCATTTAAATTAAGTGTGAGTACACAATGCCAGAAGCAAGTTTGTTTTATCATTTGCCAATTAATTTAAATCCAAAAACATAGATTTAATGTGAAAAAAAAACATCTTAAGAAATCAATTTCGATGATAAATGGCTAAAAAATTTAAGACGAAAAGAAAAGAATTTTTTTCACACTATTGTCCAATACGAAAGGTTATGTGCTGAAAATTCATCATTCATTTTTTTATTTATTATTTATGTTTATTGTGAAATAAAAATTCAACGCATCAATAAGAGTGTTGTAGTTCACTTTTTCATATCAATTTTTATTCATTTGAAAAATACTTCAAATTACTTTGCTTTTTTATATTTAAAAAGTATACTTTTATTATGCATTTGAAAACCGTTTCAATCATTTTCAGGTTGTAATTAAACACTTAAGAAAATTATTAAATTGAAAATATGCGAGACTGAAATATCGATCTATAATTCTTGTTTATGTTAGAGCTGCTATGCTAAGCTCTTTTATCGATAATTGCTGAAAATATAAGAGCTATTTCATAGTACAACTAATATTTCTGTCACATCGTGTTAGTTTAATTGTCAGAAAAATACTTGAACAGCTTAGTAGAACCAGGTAAGTGATATTTTAGTGCATTTGAGTAAATGAGCTTTAAAGTTTATACTTTCCTCATTTTTGTTAAGTCGCTCATTTTTTATGTTTTTAGTATATTTGAGAAGACACAACTTATAAAACTTTCGGGATTACATTATTTGATCAAAACTTTATAAAGGAGGATTTTATTGATTTTTAAACTTAAGATCTTGGAGAATATGTGAATATTTTTCAGCAAATATGATTTTGTTTAAAGAGCTAAATTAAATATACATACATTGAGGCTTATACTCACGAAATAAAATTTTAACAACCCTTATTCGGTACTAACTGGAATCAAGTTTTATCTAGTCTTCTTTGTTTGCAGATCTTCGAAAACGATTCAGTGGAAGAATGAGTTTAACATCTATTTGCGAAGTTGGAGTTTTACTGGTATTTTCCGCTAAGTTGGCGAGAATTTGGTAATAATTGATATTAAAAAAAAAAGAAACATTTAAATAACACGGATGAAGATTAAAATGTAATAATATTTCGTTACTCTTAAAGGTATGTAGGAGACTGAATAAAAGTATTTTTACTAGCTTTATACAAAAAAATATCTATAGCTTTTGACTAACATTAATTATTTTCAATACTTTTCAGTCAAAATTAGCAGTCTTATGCAAAAAATGACATATTTTTTTTTCAATTTATAAAAATTATGCTTAGGAAACTGTTTAGGGTATTTTTTTTCTGCTATGGTAAACTACGTGGTTAGATAGGCGACGTTTATTTTTCTTCATTCTCAGGGTTGCCACAGAAAAAAATGAACAAAATAGTTGATTTTAGTAGCTTAAAGCATGAAAATAGTAGCCAAAAACTAGGAAAATAGTTGTCTAAATAAGAGCAAAAATTCATCAAAAATATGACTAAAATTTTGTTAATGACTTAATTGTCATATACCATGATCCATTCAGTCAAGTTGGTGGCAAATATGATAATTTTTATATAAACGTAAATAAATAAATAATTATATATGAATTCGAAATTCACGCATCGTAATATCGTATTAAAAATGTTTTTTTCTTTTTTTTAAAAAAATCATGCGGAATTTCGCAGTAATAATCATTGAAAAGGCGATCGAGAAATGAAATAGACTTACAATGGAGTCTGTGCAGATTGAACGAATTCAAAAGTGAAGACTGAAATTTACAATTCAAAATTTTTTAAGAAAAAAAAAGTTCAGTGTGTTCAAAAACTCTTGTGGGGTGCAGATTTTCCACCCAATTTATGCTTTAAAAAATTAAATTAAAAAAAAATATCGCAAGGAGTACAGAAAAATCTCCCAATAGTCTCCTTTTCCCGAAAATAGTTGCTTTTTTAGCTTTTTCACGCAAAAAAAGTTGCCATAGTCGCCTCATGCCAAAAACAGTTGCATTTTAGTCGCCTGTGGCAACCCTGCATTCGTCAAGTCATTATTTTACAAATTTCCGGCGTTGAACAACTGATTAACACGGCGGATATATGCAGATTTCTTCATTTTCAACTTCCTAGCCTAGAAGACAAGTGTACTCCTGCTGAAAAAACTAGATCACATTCACTTTCAGGAAGAATTTTTGCAAGCAGAACTATTCAGTATCTGTGCAAAATGGAGGGAAAATAAAACCCCCCACGAAAAAATCTCATTGTTAGCCCTATGCTTATGGAGCTCTGTCTCCTACGAAGCAATGCAATTTTTGTGGGCAGGAAGCAAAACAAAATGTGATTATCTATCTGTGGTTCGTGTTGTTGTTGCTGTTTCTAATGTCACTTGCCAATCTAAGTGATACCCCTTTTATGGGGGGGGGGGATTGTAAATTCTTATCTAAGTGACATTTCAGGTACAGTAAGAAATTTTGCATAATATATATAAGGGCAGGCCATGGAAGATAATCCCTAACCGACCTGTCTAATCAAAAGCCTAATAAAAAGGGGCATTTAATCAACGTTTTTGGGACAGTGCTGAACAAGTTACAGGAGAGATCCATTATAATCATATTATCCAAAAAAGGCACTGCAAAAACTAAATTCAATTCAATAAATCTCACGATATGTCATGTAAATATTTAAATAATTTGGCTGAAGATTTACGGTTAGAAAGTTCGTTGGAAATTAACATAAACCTAATAACGTATATGGTAATGTTTACTGTGGTTGAAGAAAAAAAGTTAAAAATATATTATGTTTAGTTGGCGTGACATTGGATTAAAATTAGTTATACACTTGCATTAAAATAAAAAGTTAGCCATTCATTTATTGAGAATAGAGCTATTTGCATTCACTCTTAATTGAAATTAACAGATTTATTAATTTAAAAAAGAAATAGGAATGATTAAATTTATGAAATAAAGGAACTAAAAAAGCTAGGAAACACGTAATGGCTAAAATGGTATCACATAGCTAATGAAACAAAACTAGTTAGCCGAAATAACTTTATAAAACGGAATAACAGAAAAATTTAATTTAATGAATTAAGCTGAAGTTATAAAATTGCAAGTTTCTTCATCAGATGAAAGCATGCAGTATTTATTTGAGAATTAAATTTTATTAATCTCTGTTTCTAAAAAAATGTGGTTTTGAGTTTTCTGAGTATCATTTATATTAAAACACATTCTTTTATTTTTACCAAGGACAAATTTATTTTACCAAAGCAAATTATCCACATCAGGTTCACAGAAACAATCAAAACAAACTATGTTCAGGGTACTATCTGCTACATTTTAGATTTTCAAAACTGTTATACTCTGCATCTTCATATTGATTTCAAAAAAACAGAGTAAAGAAAGAGTTGAAGCAATAAAATAGCTGAGCAAAAAAAAAATTTTTTTTCCTGCAGAATTATATTCTAAAGATACTTTTCTTGTTCATCAGAAAGGAAAGAAATACTCCTGGTTTTTCTGTTCTCATTTAGGAATTTAAAAAAATTGCCAATGACTGGCTTGCTTCAGCTAGAATTTTAAATTGATAAAATAAAAAATAATAATTCTGAAATCACAGAAGTTTAAAAGATACTTTGGTCTAGAAATGATGTTTTTTCTTCTTTCATTTTTTGAAAGAACACCTTAATTTTTAAATAACATGATAAAAAGTTTTATATTTTAATAAAATATGACAGAGTAGGGATTTTGTTACAAATTCAAATATTCAGAACACGATGAAATTAGGGGGAGATTCCATTTCAAAAATAAAATTTTTCGGCCACCTAAATCCATGTTTTTTTTTTAAAAAAAATAGCTAAAATCATGACAAATTTTGTTCAATACCAAAATGCATAATATTCCATGATTTTTCATAACTTTCCAGGTGCGCTGATACCCTGTATGTTAGATTATCAGAATTATATTCGTACTAGAATATGAAATCCAAAAAAGTAGTTAGGAAAAAAAATTTCCATTCATTTTTAAAAATTTATCAATAATTTATTTTGTAAATCAAAGAAATTCTATTGATGAATTACTGTTTCTCTTAGATCTAAATAACAACAAATTCGAAAAATTGTTTGGAAGTGAGCCGTGTTTAGGTAGAAAAAGAAACCAGTGTTTCATGCTGTACTTTAAAATCATAATTTTTTTTTAAATGGTAAATATAATATTTTTCACTTATTTTTGCCTATATTAATACAAAATAATAATAAAAAAGGATGAGAAATAGATTAAATAAAAATTCTGCATCAAAGGGTTAAAAATGCTATTGCACAATATCCTAATTTTGTCCTTAACTACTGGGAGCTCTAATTATCTTTTCCGTATAAAATGAAGCCTTTTCTTAATTTCTTTAACTAAAATTTTTTTTCAAGTATTTTAAAATAATTTTTTTTTCACTATGACATAATTTTATTTACGATATTTTTTTTTGAAAAAAAATTCAGAGTTTGAGAAAGGGCAGCTTAATTTTTTTAAATTTTATTCAGCAATTAAAGAATGTCAGAAAAAATTTCGATGTAATTAAAAGAATAAAAATATCTTATTTTCAGAAAAAAGACAACAATATTGCACGTGTTTAGAAGTAAATTGATTTTAAGAAAGGGAAAATTCCACCATTTCGAATGTTATATATTTGCAAAAGTTGAAAAATTATAAGTTAGTTAAAAAATATTTTCAGCAGTTCAACTAATTTCTTGAAGTCTTGGCGTCATTCACATTTGCTCTAATTTTTAGAAAAGTATTTATTATTTTTTTTATTTTAAAAACTGGCTATTATAGATATAAAATAACTCTGGAGAACAAATTTTTTGTTGCATTTATACAAATACTTAATCTTGCCTAATTCGGTTGTTGTCTTTAAAATCTGAAAATAGCTTGCTCCTAAAGCTGCAGATTTTCTTTAAAATGACAATTTTAGTCTTTATTTCGGTCAAGATGTACAAGTTTAAAAACGTGATATACAGTGGTACCACGAGATACGAGTGCCCCAA